TCAGCCACTTGTGGCAGAGGCTCACCCAGGCTAGCCAGATCCCGTCAGATCTCGAAAGCTAAGTGGGATCAGACCTAATTAGGGTTGCCAGCAGTGTTCTCGCTAAGCTGGGTTAGTGTGAGCTAAGCTCACCGTTTTTTAGCCTTCGGCTCACACATTTTTTTTCTTAGCTCAGGAAGGATAACTCCGGAGCCAACTAATTCCTGCAGTTAGCCAAATCGCTTGCTCACAACTTTAATGTCAGTAGCTCACAAAGCAGAATTTTTGCTCACAAGACTCCAAAGCTTAGAGGGATCACTGGTTGCCAGGTCCTCCGCAGCCACAGGTGGGGGCACAGGGTTGCCAGATCCAGGTTGGGGAACTCCTGGAGGTTTGGGGATGGAGCCTGGGGAGGACAGGGACCACAGTGGGGCACAAGGCCACAGAGTCCTCGCTCCAAAGCAGCCATTTTCTCCAAGGGAACTGGTCTCTGCAGATGAGATGAGCTGCCATTTGGGGGGCGGGGCGGTTCCCGGGACCCACCTGGAAGCTGGCATCCCTAACCCTGGTTAGTATTTGGAGGGGAGACCACCAACGAAGTCCAGAGTCGCTACACAGGGGCAGGCGAGGGCCAGCCACCTCTGCTCGGCTCTTCCCTGGAGAACCTCAAGAGGGGCACTAGAAGGCGGCGGCTGTAGCGCCCCCTCAAAGCTGCGGAGTCCTGTGAGCAAAAATCCTACTTGGTGAGCTACTGGCATTAAAGTGGTGAGCCAGCCATTTGGCTGCTGCATGAATTAGTTTGCCTCTGGAGCAGTGTTCCCTCTAAGCTGAGTTAGTGTGATCTAAGCTCACCGTTTTTTAGCCTCCGGCTCACACATTTTTGTCTTAGGAAGGATGGCTCTAGAGCAACTATTTTATGCAGCAGCCAAATCGCTGGCTCACAACTTTCATGCCAGTAGCTCACAAACAATGCTCCCTCTAAGCTGTGGAGTCTTGTGAGCTACTGGCATTAAAGTGAGCGGGTGATTTGACCACTGCATGAATGAGTCTGCTCTGGAGCCCTCCTTCCTGAGCAAAGATAGAAATGTGTGTGCCGGAGGCTAAAAAACGGTGAGCTACCTCACACGAACTCAGCTTAGAGGGAACACTGCTCGCAAAGTAGAATTTTTGCTCACAAGACTGCACAGCTGCAGTGATGGCGAACCTTTTAGAGACCGAGTGCCCAAACTGCGACCCAAAACCCCACTTATTGATCGCAAAGTGCCAACACAGCCATTTAACCGGAATACTGAGGTTTTACTTTAGAAAAAACAACTCATACATTAACTTAAGATGATCCAAACAAAGTAAGGAAAGCAATCCCAAATGCTTTCATTGACTTAAAATTATTTGGCAGAGAATTCGACACTTTAATGATGGTCTGGGCCTGGCTGGGGCGATGGCACGCGTGCCCACAGAGAGGGCTCTGAGTGCCACCTCTGGCACCCGTGCCATAGGTTCACCACCACTGGCCTAGGTCATTGGGTCAATACACCTGTAACCATGGTCTCTGATGTACATAGCTATGCTCTGTCAATGCTTCCGCTATTCATCCCCCCCCCTTGCTTCTAGTTCTCAAACTCCCGCTCTGCACCTGCTGGATGTCGATTCCTTGTCTGCACAGTCCTCCCCTGGCATTCCTTTCTTGAGCGGAGACAAAAAGGGGTGAGCCGGAGGCTAAGAAACCTGTGAGCCAGCTCACACCAACTCAGCTTAGAGGGAACACTGCATTGCTCCCTCTAAGCTGTGGAGTCTTGTGAGGCAAAATTCTACTTTGTGAGCTACTGGCATTAAAGCTGTGTGCAAGCGACTTGGCTACTGCATAACTTAGTTTGCTCTGGAGCCCTCCTTCCTGAGCTAAGACAACAATGTGTGAGCCGGAGGCTAAGAAACCTGTGAGCTAGCTCACACCAACTCAGCTTAGAGGGAACACTGCCTTGCTCCCTCTAAGCTGTGGAGTCTTGCGAGGCAAACTTCTACTTTGTGAGCTACTGGCATGAAAGCTGTGTGCAAGCGACTTGGCTACTGCATAACTTAGTTTGCTCTGGAGCCCTCCTTCCTGAGCTAAGACAACAATGTGTGAGCCGGAGGCTAAGAAACCTGTGAGCTAGCTCACACCAACTCAGCTTAGAGGGAACACTGCCTTGCTCCCTCTAAGCTGTGGAGTCTTGCGAGG